GTTCTTCAACAGCGGTTCTCGGTGACAAGACCTGTATGGTCTTCTTTGAGTATCCGCGTTCTTTATCTTAATTCTTTATTTTTTTGTAACGATTTTTTTGCATGTAAATTTTTCTTATTATATATTTGTAAATATTGTATTAAATATTGTAATAAAAAAAAAAAAAAAAAAAAAAAAAAAAAAACATATAGACGACCAAAAATATGGAATACCTATCAAAAAGGACTCAATTGTATGGTTAAATCGTTATTTCAGTAAGTATCTAAAAAAAACAGAAATTTTTAAAACTTGAAACTTTATGTTTTTTATAATACTTTTATATTTGTGCATATATTTACTCGGAAGTCTCTTGATTATTTTTCAAGTCTTTTAAGCCTTTTTTTTTTTTTTAGTTTTTTTTCTTTCTTTGTTTTAATTTTTAGCGCAGTAAAGAATACTATTATAATTTCATAGTTTCTTAGTTTTTCGATTTTTAGTTTAAAAGAAAAAGACTATTTAGTTATTTTTGCGTCGTCGCAATCTTTTCATAGAGCCCCTTAAAAATTTTTTATAAAATATATATATATTATTAAAACTTTTCAAAGGGCTCTATGAAAAGATTGCGACGACGTATCGTCATCCTTATCTTTTTTGAGCCCCTGTCTGTTTAATTCTTTGTATAATAAAGATCATTGAAAAATCCATTCTATTTTATATTTTATATACAAAACGGTGTCTGGTGACAAGATGTACAATTTTACTATGGATATGTATGTATTTTTTTGTATATATAAGTTGAATGTATTTATTAAACAGCGAAATAAATGTAAAGAAACTTAAATAAAAAATTACCAAGTAAATTTAAAACTTTTTTCAGCTTTCGTGATGAAACAAATGGTCTATTCTTTGCCTCAGACTTGATCAACCTTGATAAGGTCTTGTCTTTGGTTTTGTGGTGGAGAAATAATGGTTCCGGTCCTAGAATTATAAATAATTTGTCTCAGGTGAGGCGTTAACTCTCTTTTTTGAATTTTAGAATAAATATCTAATCATAATATACATTCTAATTTAAAAAAATTTGCTTAGAATTAATTTTTTTAAATGTACAGGGTGTTCAAATTTTAGTTAACTTGTATTTTTTGCACTAAAATGCATTTTATTGCGAAAAATACAAATTAACTATAATGCTTTCAGTGAAAGTGTTAGTGAGGAGCCAAACACTTCAATTCGTCATTGTTCACAGCTATTAGACATAAAAACCACTTTATTCAATATTTTGCATAAGGATCTTCACTTAAAAAAGTTAGCAAAATACAGTTAACAGAACAATTATTGTTTACTGATCATGGATTATGTCGTGTATTTGTTAATTGGGCTCTTGCAGCAAAAGAAAAAAATAATGATTTTTTTAACAAAATGATTTTTAGAGATGAAGCTCATTTTGAAATTGGTGGGTATGTAAAACAAATAAAGCTGTCGAGTCTGGTGTAAAGAAAAATTACGAGTAATATCGAAAAAACAACTGCATCCACAAAAAAAAACTGTTTTGTGTGGTTTTTGATCTGATGGATTGATAGTTGAATGTCCTTTGTTTTAAGTACTAATTTGATACGTTTTGGTATCGAATTGTCTAGTTTTTAATTTACTTGACAGTTCTTTGGTAATCTCAGTACACCGAATTTGCGTAATTCAGTAGACTAAATCTTGCATTGTGTGTAGTGCATGTTGTTTCACTCGACGCTTATGAATCATCTACAATTTTTTTATCGGATTCAAGTCTGGTGGTTCCAAGTCCATTTCAGCAACTTGATCTTTTTTTGACAAACCAACGTTGAACAGTCTTTGCTGTATGACACGGTGTACCATCTTGTTGGAATGTGGTACATTGATGTACTTGCATTGTATTGCAAACCTTGCTTTCCAATATTTCCAAATATTTGGCTGTATTCATAAGTTGTGCCTTCAGGCAAAAAATGCAGTGCACCACTTCTAAAAGCAAAACCCCCAAACCCCAAAATTTTGGCAGTGCTTTACAATAGGAATTGTGTAACGAGGACCGCATCGTTTTCCGACAAGACAACGAACATAATGATGCCAGGTACCAAATGGCATAATCATAGTTTCATTTCTGAATAGCATGCCTAGAAGTCCAGTTCATGTACTTTTTGCAAAGTGCTATTCTCTTTGTACGCTGCTTGACATTTCATTAGAAAACCTCTTAAAACGGTATTTCAAAGTTAAAAAAAATTACACAAATTGAATAGTTTTACAAAAAGTAATGAGATTTTGAGTAGAAAATTTTTAATATATGGATTTGTTGAAGAAACTACGCTTAAATTATCCTTAATACGCTAACTGCGTGTAATAACTTTACTGTAAAAAATTATTCGTTTTTTAATTAATTTCGTCATTTTTGAGTATTTTGAATAACAAGTTTTGATGAAAGTTTACTTATCCACTTGATTGATGGCATAATGGAAAAAAATATGTACAAAGATATCATTTAGGATGTTCTCACAATGCTCTCCCAATGGTAAAGAATAAATATATTGAGGATGGATATTTCGGCAAGGCAGTAATTCAAAGCACACTTTAATCCTAGTGGAAGACTTTTTCAAATCCAAAAAAAATTCTACTTATCGAATGGTCTTTGCGAAGTCCTGACCTTAATCCTATCAAACATCTATGGGAATACCTCAATCAACAAATTTTATGTTCAAACCCAACATGTAAACAAGATTTATTTGAAATTTTGAAGCATATCAAGCCTGTGGACTCAATGCCTTCTCATGTTAAATAGTAATCAATTCAAAGGACTTTCTGAGAGAGTGTTAAAGAATTCTACTTCAAATTAAAACATTATCAATTAAAAAAAAATGTTAAAAAAGTTTACTTCAGATGTTTTTTTCTGCCCGAATACTTTTACACATATTTCAATGAAATAAACTTTTTAGATTTTTTAGATTTTGTAAAAATTTTTTACTTTTTGTGTAAGAATATTTAAGGAGTAAAAGCTTCTGTGTCTGTCTGAATCCAAAAGGTTACATAAAAAATACTTTTAAATGGAGAAACGGAAGACATTGAAAATTAAACAATCATAAATAAATCACAGATAGAATTGAATCATCTTTAATCGTCATTAAACAGTATCTTGAAGCAATTTCTGGCAAACTAGTGGAAAAAATAAATACAATTAGAAATAGCAACTGTACAAGATGGAAAAAACTACAGAATAGGTTGAGGTTTGAATCTAGAAGCAGAAATAAAAGCTTCTATCATTGGCTGTATGTAAAATGTGAAATAAGAAGCACATTTTTTAGCAGAGAGACAAAACCAGATTTTTTTTTTTCTGTTTCATTTTATCTTTTTCGTACTAAAAAAAATCAGTTTTTAGTATTGGATCTAATATATTTATTATCTAATATATTTATTATAACTCTCAAAGCTGTTAACTATTAGCATCAAGGAATTAAAAGTCAAGACAAACAATGATTAAAGTTTTAATATTTCGGTTTTATTACTACATGTCGCTATCTAAATATCGCAGCGTTATAGCTATTAATATAACCACGATCGAGGACGTATAGATGTCGTTTAACGCCTTGCTATAGATCAGAGGCGCCGCCAATTACTGAAATTCTATGCGCGTTATAATTTTTAGTGTCTTTGTTGAAAAATGTTTACAAAATAAACTACTACTGGAAGAATATGATATTGATACAAGCAATGAAATTTAATTTGCATACAGAAAGCGATACGTTACTTTTAATAATTGATTATATACAACTAACTATAAGAAATGGTGGTTACAACTACATAAAATAGTTGTTTGAATCTCTCTCAAAGCTGTTATATATCTTATTCAAATATTTAATATATTTAAATATGAGCTGCTGTATGGCAGTGGTAGCGCACTTGCCTCAGAAAAGGATCCGTGGTTCAAACTCTGGGCAAGTTTTACGACATTGGTTAGGAAGGAGGCGTAAACTTCCAATTATATGCTCATCCGCGGTGCTCTGTGATAAGACCATCCGCGGTGCTCTGTGTAAGTACTTCTTGGAGCACCTAAGAAAAAAAAATTATTCAAATAAGTTTTTATAAAAACATTGCGCATGTCATACTGCTTTCATTAATTAATAACATCTTTGCGTTATTTACGTCGTATCACATACAAGGGTCACTCGCCAAAGAGGGAGCTAAAAAGTTCTTAGCTCCCTCCTTGGCGAATAAATAAATAAATAAATAGGTCCGCATAGTTTCATTTATAAGTAATTTTCTTTTTTAATTTTTTGTACTTTAGTCAATTTCATTCGTCAGATTAATAGTCCAATTCTGTATAATAGTCAATTAACAAAAGAAAATTCTGAATTTATGATAGCTAAAGTGGAAAGTTTAGCTGGAGGTTATTTTCCAGTGAAACTGATTTCTAAAAGACGAACATCAAGAGAGATTGAAGTGGCTGGTTCATTAAAACAGTCCATTATATGGTCATAAAAAAAAGTCCCGAGGAGGGGGCCCTACCTCTAAAACCTGCCACTAATCGCATACACTGATAAACCTTTATCAAACTTGCTTGTGCCAGGATGTTATACGGCACAAGCAAGTTTGATAAAGGTTTCCATTATTCTGCTAATAAATGTATCACTTTTTTTTGTATACGTTTGGCTGAAACTCTGTATTTTGTTTTTAAAAATCATTGCCGAAAAGACAAGTTTAGGCAGTTCCTATAAAGTATAAAAAGCATATACATGCAATGTAATCATAATACATGTAATAATATAATATTCTAATATGATGACATAAATTTAAAGGTAATAAATACTTTGATAAACACAATGGTTTTTATACTCTTTTATTTTTTATTAGAAGATCGTTCCCGTTAAAAAATTCTAAAACAAATATAACAATCAAATTTTTTATTTAGCATAATTAAAAATTTTAATCCGCATTTTATAAAACGGAATTTAGAATATGTCAAAAAATCCAACGTCAAAAATAAAAAATGACCTATTGTTTAGTTTTTCAAAATCTAAACAAACTCGGCAAAGGGTCCAAAGTCCATTAAAAATTCAACTGACGTTGAGATAGAAACCTCTGCAAAGTCTATAAAGTGACTTTCTCTTCAAGTGATCAAGTTTTTTTTTTAATTTCAAAAGATTGGTTTTACTTTTTAAATTATTCTCTCAATAAATGAGTATTTAAAAGAACTAAAGATCGGCATTTTTGTTCAGGTGCACAATTTGTATTTTTTCTCGACCTTTTTTTATACTTTATCTTACTTTCAAGGAAAATCAAATGTTGGATATTAAGTAGCTGTTTATTTAATCATTTGTTACTCATTAATAAATTTATTTACTAATTATTAATAAATTTTGTGAAAAGTTATCTTTTTTTATATATAACATGATATTTTTTATTTATTTAAATTAAACAAGCATATGCTTTTCTTTTTTAAATATCCTAGCAAAAATTTTTTTTTTCATGTAGGCATTGATATTCGAATGATATTGATATTAAAATTAGAAAACTGTAACTAAAAGTAGAACATTAGGTTATTTATTAGTATATTATATATATAAAATATATATGATAATTACTTTTTATATATATATAAAATATATCTGATAAGAACTTTTCCTGATAAATCTGCAGTTCCGGTTAACTAAAATAATTATATATTGTTTGCTTATTGTGTTCTCATCAGTGGTGACTATTTAAACATAAAATTTTTTTTATTGGCTTCAGTACATACATCAATCATCTTATAGCCTGCTACCACAAAGAAGTGCCACTAAATTGACTGAAAGTTTGGCAATCTTTTCTTTCTTTATTTCAATAATAAAAGAAAAGATTGATTTAATTCAATCATTTTGCATGGTAGCTAAAAAGTTTCTTCCATAAACTGTAGTTTTGAAGAGACCGGTAACAACTAAACGGTAAAAAACTTTCTAGTCATTATTGTTGCGGTTTTTAAAAAAATTATAAAACTAAATGTACTTCTGCATTATTTTACTTGTTTTAACTTTTAGATGACATTAAAATGTAGCTTAATTGTTTAAGTCACTTAAATGTTGTTAAAAGAGACTTTATTAGTCTCTTTCAACTACGATATAAGGATATATATATATATATATATATATATATATATATATATATATATATATATATATATATATATATATATATATATATATATATATATATATCAGTCCTTAGAATTAGGTTCATAAAGTGATGTTGGTAAAAAATTGCAGACTTCATTTCTATATTTTGTGATAACCCCTTTGTGTAAATTTTTTTTTGCTAACCTATTGCTGACCTCAAACAGTTTGAGGTCAGCAATTTATTTCCGAACTCATTTTTTTCTAATTCTGAGGGTTGATATATATATATATATATATATATATATATATATATATATATATATATATATATATATATATATATATATATATATATATATATATATATATATTTATATATATATATATATATATATATATATATATATATATATATATATATATATATATATATATACTATTTATATTTAAATTCGTATATTTAGTGTTTGATCAATACCTAATTGATATCTGTTAGCCATGGCTGAAGCAAGAGCTGCTGCAAGTGAACCTCAAGTTCGATATCGAGCTGAAGGTACTAGCAAAGTTGAACAAGAATCTAGAGTAGCCAAAAGTGTGTACCAGGACTTGATGTTGTGTGCATTTCGAACTAAGTAAACTCTTTGTTGTTGCTACAGCAAATGTTGCATAGACAATAGTATAGGTTTTAATTAAATTTATACAATGTTTAATTTTCTATATTTAGGCGTCAAATCTACAATGGGCTTTGGCCTACATCTTGGGATAACTTATTAGCTGCATTAGTGATTGTCTTTGTTGCTATAACTATAGATCATCCAAAGCTAAATATGATTACAAGTTATTTTTGGCAGTTTGGCAATTATATTCATCTTGATGACAGTTACAATTATTATTTTAGAGCTTTCATGATTTCTCTCTTATCATCAATTGTTTATTTTATTGTAATTCTTTATACGAGGCAGTATCTTCTAAGATTATTGTTGTCTTACAAAGGGTGGTTATGTAAGTAAAAATGTTTAAAATTTATTATTTGTTACCATACTCCAAACAAATAATTATGAATTTTTGGTGTGTGTGTGTGTGTGTGTTTATTTCTTACAATTTAAACACATTTTATTTTTCAAATAATCTTTTATTTGGATTCAGAATAAAGCAATAATTAATTAATAAATTATAAATAAAATTATGGTCAATTAGACATAAATTAAAGATATGCCTGTAATCAGTTAACTGCTGAAAAATGAGTGTGCAGTATCGAAATCTGTTATTACAGAATTTTCGAAGAAAAATGATTTGTGAGTTGTTATTACAGGTTATGATTTAATAAGCAAAATTGATATTCTTTTCAGCAAGTACACATTGCAAGCATGCTGGTAATAGGAGAGGCATTTTCCCAATGCTGCAGCACTTGCACAGTCTCTCACTAGATACAGTAATTAGTTGAACACAAAGAAAACAAAAAAAAATTAATAGAGTTTAAATGCAGATTTATAAACAACATACATAAACTGAAATGTGATTACTGTAAAATAAAAAAAATAAAAAACAAAAATAAAAAAACAAATTATAAAAAAACTTTTTTGAAACTAAAAAGTTTTTCTTCTTTTACATTGTTTAAAGACAAACTTCAGTTTTTTTAAAAAAAAGAAAAAGTGAATTATATAAAATAAACAAGTTTAAAATACCTTTGCATTTAAGCATGTTTTATTTTGGAATTTAATTATTTAGTGAGATTATATTTTTAATTAGTATTATAATTTTGGACTGTTTATTATGAGTTATACAGTATTTAATAACATAATTATCTAACAAGTTGTTGATTACAAGTTGCTAAATTGTGCTGTGCCCTCAAAATTTTATACAAACAATAATGAATATAGATAATGAAGCAAATTTTTGAACTGGCTTAAAATCATTTTAGTTTAACAATGTATATGATTTTAAAGGCATTATGGTCTTTTGCAGGTTACGATGGTTTTATTTACGAGTTTTCAAATTTGTAAATTTAAAAAAAAAAAAAAAACTTTACATTAAATAGTCTTAATTTTATTGGAAATGGTAAAGTTGCAATATAAAAATGAAACTACACTATGTTGCTCTATATTTTGTTTTTACACTGTTGCGCTGTTTACAGTGCCAATTTAGAGCTAGAGGTATGCACTATATACGAAGCTTAGAGGTGTGTATCATATACATAGTTTCTAAAAACTAGTGGTTACTGCTAATACTAATAATAACTATAAAATGATAACTTAAATCATACTTAATCACCTAATCATGTACTTTATAAGATATTTAATGCATTTTTTTAAACACTGCTTATTCTTCAGCTATTCTAGGTTGTGCTTCACCAGTATGCATTATCTAAGAAATAAACTCATCTGTTTACAGTTTTTTTTTTTTTTTTTTTTTTTTTTTTGCTATTAAGTATATCATTGTTAAGAAATAGGGTTTTTTAAACTTGATATAGACATGCCAAACTCTGAATCTTGAGGCTTTTTAAGTTTTTTAAGCAGACAATCCTATGAAATCCTCTGAGCAATGTAACTTACAAAAACTTTTATGATTTTAAAACCATATATATTGCTGAATTAAAATGATTCCTGTGTCTTTAGACTAAACTATTTGTTATTGTTATCGTTGTTCCAGTTATTGTTATTGTTTGAGTAAGAAATCTAATTATTTATTATTGATGTCACAGTAATAACTTGTTAATTAATATTTAAAGGTTCTATAAATCATTAATCAGTTAATAACTGATTAATGATTTATAGAACCTTTTTACATATTTCATTATGAAATGCAAGATTTTTTTAAAACAAGTTATAATGTTTTAAAAAATCTTGCATGAATATTGTATTAGATATAGATTCGAATTGTGTAGTACTTATTCCTAATATAAGTAATAATAATACAAAATTAAAAATCAATTTGTATCTCCATAAAAAAAGTAATTAAAATAATCTTGTAAGCATTTTCAAATTTTTAGATCAACCACCTCGATCTCAAAGCATTGTTGTTTTAATTTGGAGTATCTTAGTGCGCATAGTAAGTGGAAGATCTCCTCGCTTATATGCTTATCAAAACAGTCTCCCAAGAATGAGTGTTCCTCCTCTTAAAAGTACTGTAAACAAACTTTTAACATCTGTTAAACCTGTTTTGGATGAGGCAGTCTACAAAAAGATGAAAGAAGATGCAAATGTGAGTCATATTATGATAAACAATAAGAATAACTAAAATGATTCATATTCAGTTTTGTGTAAAAACAAATTTACTGAAATAGAGGTAGGTGTGAAATAGAGGTAGTTGGAAGCTTTAGTACATCAAACAATTGATGAGATTCAATAAGTAATATCCACACATTAAATAAATTTATTACCTAACTTTAAAGAGGTTTATTACCTACATTTATTACTTAAATTGATATACTGGCTTACTGTTTGATCATCTATAAAAGTTTGTTATTAGTATTATTCTATACATCATAGTCTTAAATTAATGTCCCTATATTTCATAGATTTTCTTTCAAAGTTAAAAATATTGAGTTGCATTTTTTTTTATCTTCATATAACCATTTAATATCCTAGAACTAAATCAACTAACTTTTTAAGGAAAGCTCAATATTGTTCCCCTTCTCCATTAGATAAAGTGCTAATATTATTATTATTGTCATATAAATAAATATAAATACAATAAAGAAATAGTGTATTCTTTATTATAAATAATCTTTTAAATCTTAAAATTTAGGAATTTTTATCAACAATTGGTCCTAAACTACAATGGATTCTACAGTTAAAATCTTGGTGGGCACCAAATTTTTGCACTGATTGGTGGTAAATTATTTTTTTCAAGTTTAAATTTTTTATAATGTAAACTTTTTGTAATTTAAACATCTTGCATAGTAGAAAATAATTAAATTTTCAAACTGAATAAAATCACTGAATAAATAAATATTTGGCTTATTAAACAAATATTTAACTTGTAATAAATATTTAAAGTGTAAAGTTATGCATTTGAGCAAAATCGACCCATGCTTAATGCATGCATTCCATAACAATTTGAGACAAATAGCAGAGATAATACATATAAAGTTAAAGAAATTGAACAAGAATAATTTTTAATTTAAATTTGACATTTTGGAAGACTTGAAAGAGTTCTTTTACAATCGGATGCCCTTTCTGGCATTAACCTGTTAATATGAATATATATATATATATATATATATATATATATATATATATATATATATATATATATATATATATATATATATATATATATATATATATATATTATTTGTACATATATATACGCACATGCATTTATATACACACCTTTATAAATGTTTATATTATATTTTATATATTTATATTATACTTTTATATGAAAATAACTTTTTTAAGGGAAAAATATGTTTATTTAATGGGGCGTGATCCTATTGCAATAAACAGTAATTATTACTGCCTTGATCAAGGAGGTTGGATTCCCACTCGTATACAGACAGCTCGTGCTGCTGGTTTTACTTGTTTGTTATTAGACTTTAAACGTCTAATCGAAACAGAAAAACTTGAGCCACTCGCTATTCGAAATACTATACCTCTATGTATGATTCAATATCTGAGAATGTTCGGCACAACCAGGTAAGATAGTAATTTCAATATATAGAACCCACTAAATTTATCAACTTTTAATAAGTAAAAAATTGAAATGTGATTAATTTTAATTTTTGCAATTATTGTGAAGAAAATTTAAAATTAGTTAAAATATCAATCAATAAATTTAAATTTAAAAAGTTATTAAATTAATTGAATTTATCTAGTAAAAATTGTCAACTTTATCATTATTGTTTTAAGGTTTTTAATTTACTTATTTTCTCTTTTATTTACTTACTCAAATTTTTTTCTCTTTACTTACTCTTTTCAAATTTTTCTTCATTTACTGAGTTTTCCTTCATCATTAACATTTCTTTTTCTCCATCCTTTTCTATCTTAACCTCTTTTTTATCCTAATGACTGCAACTGCCAATCGTTTATACATTTTCAAGATTTGATATTTTAGATAGAGATATTAATATCAAAAGATTATCAACAAGAGGCAATGTTTCATTATTTTTCATTGAAAAAAGTTTTAAGTTTTCAACATTGCAATTAATGTTCCTCATCTTTGTAAATATAAAAAAGTTTTTAAAAAATTTTGATAAAAATGTTTTCTGTATTTACTTATAAAGCAGATAAATTATATTGAAGCTTGAGAAAAAAAACATTTTTTGGCCCAGAGAGATGAAACTATGCCTAAATTATGACATAAATTTTTTCTTTCCTTTTTTTTTTTTATAACAATTTCATTTTGAACAAAGATGCAAGCAAACACTTTTTAAGTTTGGAGTTGCTAGAAAATTGGGAGTTTCTAAAAAGTAAACAGTTGAGTTAAAGAGCAAGTAAACAGCAGAACACTTGAAGTAAACAGCTGAACACTTGAAGTAAACAGCAGAACACTTGAAAAAATTGAATGAGTCTGGAAAAAATGAAGCTGGGAGAGAATTCCATAGAATTGTTGTTTAAAGAAAAAGAAAAAAAGACAAAGGTTTTTGAAGATAAAAGAACAGTTATAGAAAAAAGAATTTTTTTTTTTTTGAATGGTTTTTAAAAAAAATTTTGTGGAACAAGATATAGTAGCTTGTTTGAGTACTGACCATGGTAGTATTTATAGAAAGGAGAAAAAAGATATGCTAACGCTGAAGATATGCAATAGCTCAAGCTTGGCAGCTAGAGCAGCTCCAACTACATTTTAAATCTTGTCTAAAAGAAAAGTATTATTAAATAAACCTACTCAAACATGAAAGTACTTAATACAAGAACAGAAAAAAGATTTTTAGAGGTAAAAAGTAACGACTTAATGTGAAGTCTGGGGAATATATAGTTGTGTCATTGTCTAATTAGAGCTACTTTAGAGGTAAAATTCAGTCATGAAAAATAACCTATGATGTAAAGTAGAGGACTCAGTAAGATTGTTACTATTCGTCAATAAAGGAATTACAAATGTAATCTATTATATATCTTCATTATAGGAAATTGAAATTACTGATGCTTTTTTCCAGAAGGCAGAAAAACAAGATTCTATTAAGATCTGGTGAAAATATCAATAATTCTGTGGCAAGAATTTTATTAAGACCACAAGATGTAGAGTTTAAACCAAAAATAACTTTAGAAACGAAAGCCAGAGTGATTTGGGTAAGTACAACAGATAAGAATGTACCTGTTTTTATAGGATGTCAAAAATAATGTAGTCATTAAAATTCATGAGATGAAATAGAGGAAATATCTTTTGCAAATATTTCTGACTTCTTCTCATACATGGTTCTGATATTATTAATATCAGAACCATGTATGAGAGATAAAATGTTAGACTTGTCATTGTTAATGATACTTTGGCATATTTGTCAGGTATAACAATATACTCAAAACTGATATAAAGGAATAATTGCTTTCATGCCTTCCTAAATCCAGGAGATTATATAGGAGATGCATTTTTTAGCAGAGAGTTTAAAAACATAATCCTAAAAACATCAATCTGAAATCTTATGTCTTAGTAGAAAATGATAAAGCAGCCTAACAGGAATCTCTTTATTATTTTGGGAAACTTAAGTAGTTGTCGATAGGTTAACTTTTGTTAAAGTTAACAAAAATAATGTTAATTTGTTTAAGTTGGATGAGTTCTTAAAAGTTGACCTAATCTTCAGAATTTTACTTAAAACTTAATATCAATAAATTGTTTATATTAAAAACTCAGTTTAGAATTCAGTTAAAAAAATGAAATTGAGTAAGGCAAAAATGCAGATAATTATGCAGAGATTTTATAGTAAAATAACTTCAAGTATGCTTTAAACAATATAAAAATATAACTTTTTTTTATTTCATTTTGTTATTATATAGATTTATAAAATTATTAGCTTCGCTTAAATGGCTTCTAAATCTTTTCTATTAGTCTGATTTTTTTTTTAATATATTTTGTTAGTTTGACTTTATATTGCAAACTTGCATACACTAGAATGCAGACAGTAGTAATAAATTACTCAGTTAAAGTATTTTGTTTCCTTGGTATATATTTTTTGTTCATTATTGATTACATACATATACCATTGTTATTAGATACATTACTTGTTTCATGAAGTTGAAATATCTAGTCAATTTAATTGCAAGAGTTATTGCAAATGTCAATTAGCTCTTTGGTTTTTTTCTCTTACTTGTGTTAATTGTATAATAATTGTAATAAAAATTACACAGGTGTTATTGAGTTCAAAAACTATTGTAAAAATCAAATACTTTGTAACGATGTGGGTTTTGAAAAAAACAAAATGATTTTTTTTTTGTTCCATGTAAAAATTTGTTTTTAATATTTTTATTTTATTTTTATTAGTGTTTTGTTTTTTAGGTTAAGTTGACGTTATCTGTTTATTTTATTATTATCAAATACAAGATAAATATATTTTTTTTGTTTTTTAAACTACTCCTAAACTCATAGCAAACTTTGTTAACTGTAAAATGGACATTAACTTGAACTTTTATTTTGAAAAAAAATTTTCTTTTTCAAATATTTGTTAAAATTTTCTCATGAAAGTATTTAATTATATTTTACACTTATCAAGTTAAAATGTTTAAAGCATGTTTTTTGTAAAGATTGTTCTCTCTGCTGTTGTTTAAATCAAACATTTAATTTTCAAAGTATTGTAAGAAACTTCTTATTGAACAGCATTATTTAAAGGTAGTTAACAATAAAATATCATTTTATAGTTAATCATAAATTAATTGAGTTAACATGTATTATTGTTTTTTAGTTCTATAAATATTCACATACAATTATAATTTTTTTTTTTTAAATAATTCTTCATAAAGTATATGAAATAATCTTTAAATAAGTTAAGAATGTCATCAAACACTTCTTTTACCAAAGGTCCCTCTTATTTTTTTAAATCAGGATACCTAAGCAAGACCAAGATAAACTACAACATTATCCAGGTTCTGAGGTAAGTTTTTTTATACTTAACTTTGTTGATCAGTGGTCATACTAAGAAAATATTGTATTTGAGAGAATGTTTTAAGCTAAAATGAATTAAAGTTCAGAAAGAAAATTCTTGCTTTTTAGCATATTGTTGTGTTAGCTAAAGGTCATTTTTATAAACTTTATGCTGTTGATGCACATGGAAAAAAGTTGAGTATTCTTGATCTGCAATCTCAATATGATTGGATTTTAAAAGATGCTGAAAAACAAACAGGTTATTCTTAGATAGTTTGTATAATGTAGAATAAATATGTTTTTTACTTAATATCTAAAATTAATTAGTCCAAAGTGCAATATCTAAAGTAAATACTCCAAAGTATATCTAAAAGTAGTTACTCCAAAGTACAATATCTAAAGTGAATGTTCCAAAATAGGGTAAATTTTTTAAGGGTCTTTGTCGAAGTTAAAAGCTACAGGAAAAGTTTTTTGTATAAATATATATTAGGCATGATCTTGACAAAGAATGTCATTTTTTTTTAAAAAATAGGTTGATTGTGGAACTTGGTATTTAAAATTTGTTGTAAAGTTAACAGGCAAGATAAATAATAGTAACAAACCCTAGATATATATTTTTTTTTTCATATAATTTTTTTATGTGGTTTTGCTGGGTGATAGAATAATTGATCGTTATTGCTCTACCCTCCTCCAAGCCCCTTTTATCTCTCCTTTTAACTTTTAAATAATCTCATAAAGATTTAGTTTTTATAAGTTTGACAAATAGTTTTTATTAAAATATGAGTTTATCTGTAGTCAAAACCTGTATCTTTTAATTCTTTTGTTCAAAGACACTTTTGAATTTAATCTTTTTTGTTTTGTTAGATAGGTAATAATGAATAATAATTGAGCTAATGGCTTGTATTGAATTTTTCTTGTGCAACACTATAGTTTAATTATTATATGCTAAAAAGTTAATGTTGTATATAATTGTAAGCTTTTTGATTGCATTAACCTCCTTTTTTTTTATTGCATTAACCCTTTTCTGAAAGATGAACTTTTTCAAGTGCAATAATATCAATTTTAAGGTATGGGCGCTATGCTTTTATTGAAAATTCAAGATTGGGTCTTATAAATATACATAAATTATATAAAGTGAAAATATAATGTAAAACAATGAGCTAAAAGATTTTATAATATAAAATTAAATAAATAAGAAACACAAAACAAAAGTAATTTGTTAAAACTCTGCTTTACATGACCCACAATACTGTCATAATTATTATTAGCAAGATTTCACCAAATCATGAGCACTTCTACCCTAATGGATGAAGCACTTATTTGACACATTACATATACATATTACAAATGGAACCTAACACTAACTTGATTATACATTATTAGTCCCTTTCAAATTAAATTCTTTTCTATATATTAATTTTACATTAACATCTTGATTTTCATTACAAATCTCAAGGATATGTACCATTCATCATCATAAAAGCATGTAATGTATTTACCAGGTTGAAAATTTGAAAGATCTTTTTTTTATTAAGTTAAGATTATTTAGCCAACGGGTATAGTAGACACTATCACAAAAGGTTCACAAATAGGTATCAGTGAAAGTATCGCAACAGATTTTCAGTAAAAACAGTTTTAAATATGTAAAAATCTCTAACCAGATACTCAAATTTTTATGGTTTTGGTAAAAATTGATTCAATCATAACTTTTGAATGGATCAGTCAATCAAGCTGAAATTTTCAGGGCTGTGTTTTTTTTTTCATAAAATCTGCGGGTAGTCAAAACTTGAAGGAAATCTGAAGTAGTAGCCTAGGGGCCATTAGGTGATTTAAAATGGAATGACCTTTATATTCATTTTTTAGTAAATTTTTTTTAAATATAAAAAAAATAAGTTTAGTGCTAGTTTAAAATGAATTTGTAGGACATTCAACTGATTTTGATTTGTTTTTTTCAAATGTACTGTTGATAATAATAAATTTAAAATTTTACAGTTTTTATAAAGTTAATGAACCAAAATCAACTAAAACTTGAAATTTTGATCAAAATTAAAACAAAGGAATGTTTTAATCAAAAAAGTAAAATCTTATAGATTGTAAATTTTTTCCATAAACCAGTTTGGCTAACTAATTGCAGACATTTTTATTTTTTTATTTTTTTTTTTCTACTTTTTTTATTTCCTCTTTTTTTTTATATATGTATACATAAATAAAATTCTTGATTATGCAACAAGCTACTTTTTTGAAACATTTTTTTATGAACACAAAATTATTTCTATCATTATAAAACAATTTTTAAATAAAACAATTGTATGATTTGAAAAAGAATATTTAAAAACAAAATTTTTTATCATACAGCATCATGTCCGGCAGAACTTCGTATTCCAGCACTTACTGGAACTGAGAGAAACAATTGGGCACGAATTCGCAGAGATCATTTTTCTACAGGCATAAACAGTGATTCATTGCGAGCCATTGAAGAAGCACTTTTTGTTGTAAGTTTTGATGTGTTAACTTTTGTAGTATATTTAAAGTATGATAATGGATTTATCTAATTAAGATGCATTACTTTAATGATTAAATTTTTTCTTTTTAACTTATTTAATACATTTTAGTATTTTTGTTTTTTTATAATAAATTCCTTTCCCGATGATCTTATGGACAAGTAAATTTAAATTAGCATAAGAGCTGCTAGAATTTTTTTATTTTTACAACTTTTGTATAAATAAAATATAAAATAAAAACACAAATTTATAAAATTTTGTATAAAATTTGTATAAATTTGTGTTTAGCCTCTTCAGAATTAGACCTTTATCAAGATAAGAAATATTTTTAATTTTTACAAATTCTAAAATTGTAAAGGACTTAGCAAAAATCGTTTTTAAATATTGAAATAATTTTTATCTCGAAAGATGTTGACCAAATTTTATTCAACAATTTTATTGGTCCAATCATATTGTGTTTAATCCTTCTTTTAATGCCAACCTCTAATGGTACACTAAGGCCCACTAAGTAATTGAAGTATGGTCCACTACATAACAGATTAGCAAAACTACAGCATACTGCTCAAAATGCTTATATAAGTTCACTGAAACTCCGCTGTAGAATGTTTACTGGAGAGTGAACCATTATTCTCTGTAAATTTATTCTGTATTAAACTATTTAACTACAACTGTAAATTTTTTTTAATTTTGTATGTATTTATATATTTATATTCATTTATTGTTTAGGTTGTTTTAGACAATCATATTTGCCAAGATATTACTGAAAGAGGAAAACATTTGCTTCATGGTGATGGTGCTTCATTATGGTTTGATAAATCTATGACAGTTGTTGTTTTTAAAGATGGTCGAATGGGTATGAACTGTGAGCATTCATGGGCAGATGCCCCTGTCATTGGGCATTGTATGGAGTACTGCCTAACAAATGAGTAGGTGGTGTTGTATTTGCGTTCTTGTTTCAATTTTTAAATTTTATTTTCCAGTTTAGAATTATATTGGAGGAAAAATTTAGAACTTCAATTGAAGGTTTATTTAATAAATCATGTTGTTTCTTAATTCAAATATTGGTTCAAAATTTGTTTGAAGTTTTGATTGTTATAATAAATGCTTAATGTACATACATTAAAATATCCAACTGCAAATTGCTTGTGTAACTCCTAAATAATATAGTATTTAGTTTATTGATGTAAAGCATAATAATTGAAGAAAATTTTTTCTTACCTTTTATTTTTTAAAGAAGCATTTTAATGTATGACTTATAATTATTGACAACTTATGTTGTATATTTGTTTTTAATGGTTTCTATAGTCATTTAAACTTTTGTTTAAATAAGGTATTTGCACAGAATGTATAATGACCAAGGTTACTGTAAACCATTTGCTTCTGCAGAATCTGACCTCACTCCTAATTCAAAGGCACTAATCACACCTATGCATCTATATTGGGATATTAACAACGAGTTGGAGAAAAATATTAATGATGCTTTTGCATTCTGTTTAAAGGTATAAATTTTGTATTTATTTATTTTTTATTCATATAAAACTTATGCATCAAAATATATTTTTTTTAAATATATTCTGCTATTTAAATTTTTTTTAAATATTAGAAATGTTTATCAAATAAAAATTCAAATATTTTTTTATAATATTTGAAAATATTTTTTATTTTAGAAAAATTCTGATTTGTCTTTGTGTGTCAAAGCGCACACAGCATTTGGCAAGGGATACATTAAAACTACCAATGTAATTATTTGAATTATACTTTTGTAAAACTTTTTATAATATCATCTATTCAGTAAATATATGAGGAATTTATAGAAATAAAGAAAAAATTGTGTTTAATATCTTTTTTATGATGTGTTTAATATCTCTTTTAAGATGTGTTTGTTTTTTTAAAGATGCATTTGATATTCTTTAAGATGTTTTAAATATCTTTTTAAAGAGACTTTTTTTTGATAGATGAGTCCTGATGCTTTTGTGCAGATGGCTTTGCAACTTGCTTATTATAAAGATTCTATTGGTAAGTTTGCATTGACCTATGAATCATCTATGACTCGCTTATTTTTGCATGGACGAACAGAAACAGTACGTTCATTTACTCAAGAATGCAAAGATTTTGTACTGTGAGTGTATTTTAGTTTTATTAGTTTATATATATATATACATACATATATATATATATATATATATATATATATATATATATATATATATATATATATATATATATATATATATATATATATATATATATATATATATATATATATAGTATATACTAGTATATATAGTATATATAGTATATAAAGTATATATATATACATATACATGTATGTATATATATACTTGGCTTTCAGAGTTTCAGCTTATTTAGCAAAAAAAAGACCATTTGTCAAATTTTTTTTTAAACAAAAACTATATTTAAATTTTTTTTTTTAATGACCTGCTCTCTATTTCAAAAATTCTGTTTATATTATTTATATACAATACAAGGGTTTTAAAGGATAAATTTTAAGATATTTATCTAGCCAAAAAATTTCTCTGAAAGTTGCATGTACTTATGTAAATAAGATAAAAAAAATTTAATCATTATATCTTCAATTCTATAATATTATTTTTTCAAATTAGACATTTTTTTTTTTTGCTTTAAATACTATAAATTTGCATTTTTTAGATAAATGTTCTTTTGTTACTTTACAAAGATCAACAAAAAATTTAAAGAAAAACTTCTTGCTTCAACAGTGAAAGCTTTTGATAGTTTTTCCATTTTTTTTTTAAGTTTTTCTTAAAAGAAATAGTTTTTTCTCTTGAATAAAACATCAGTATATTAACTTGTTTAGCTAATGATTGATTAAATATCTGGAAACAATATTTACACTGAATTGTGGTTGTTTTTACAATTTTATAAAAGCATTTTCACATGACAGAGAATCAAAATATATAGGAAATAAATTAACTTTAAAAAGATTTGCAGCTGTATGATTTTTTACTTGGGGCTTATATTATATAGAAAATTTTAAGTTTATATTTTTATAACACTTCTTATAAAAATTCCTATAGAAAAATATTTTAAAAGTGTATAGAAAAATCAAAAGGACTTTTCTTCTATAATTAAAGTTTAATTACTTCTTACTAAATTTTTGTTAGTAAAATATGTAAATAAACAGAATTAAGCCTCAACTAAATCCTGCCTACCATATAGGACAAGCATAACACTTATATATTTGTTTACTAATAAATAAGTTTTAGACTGCAAGGAGGCAGAAAACCTTCTTTACTAAGAAACTAAAAAATTACTAACCAAAAAATTAGTATATTTCAAAATTAAATAGGAGAGAAGCAGCAGGAGGGAGGAGCAGCTGAAAGAAGGATCAGCAGAAGGGAGGAGCAGCAGGAGAAAGGATTAGCAGGAGAGAGCAGCTTATTAATGAAATATATTTTTTATGTTTGTAGGAGTATGAATGACACAAGTGCAACTGCAGAAGAGAAAGTTATGCTTATGAGAAAAGCTGCAGACATTCATCAGGTATTTAAATCTAAGAAAAAGTTTTCAAAATTTTTTCAAAAAATATATATATTTATCAAGATAGGTATAAAATATAGAGTAAAAGAGGGTAAAATAAAAAAGCGTAAAATAAAAAAGCGAGTAGAATGAAATAGTTATGAAAATGTTTATTCTTTTGCTCTTAACTAATTATTGGATCTTCTTTTTGCAAGTATTTTTAAAGCTTTGTAGAGAATACCTTTCTGAGTAAGATGATTTGAATTATGAAAAAAAATTTTAAGTTTTCATATGCATAATAAGATTTTTTTATTATTTTGAAAAATGAACTTGAAACTCTCAGAAGTTAAATTTGATATCATTGAACTTAAAAATTTTTCTGGCATAACTTAAAAATTAAATTTGAAGTATAGATGAAACAATTCGCAGTGGTTCAAGCACGAGATTGTCAAAACAATGAATCAGTTTTGGGTAGATACGATCATTAAATTATCTGATTGGGGCTTTACAATAACATCATCACACTAGTTACTGACTATTAGCAACAACAAGGTCAATCTCATTTGTTTGCTAAAGAAGAAGTTGTTATATCCTTTTTCATAAACTGGTGGAGTCAGGTTGAACAATACTTTAACAATTTTATGTAGTATGCAATCTAGCTTGCAACATTTTGATTTTGAATATGATCATTCCATTCTCCATCACTTGGAGCTTGCAATCGCTGGTGAATTTTAACAAATGAAACTAATTTATTTTTCTACAATTGCTATTACTATAGTTCTACCATCCTTATATCCTTATATGGTAACACAGTCAGTTTTGTCTTGTTTTACCAATGTTTTTAGAGTTTTTTCCCTGCATTAAGTTTCCTAATTTATGTACTTTAAACTTTTTTTTTTTTTTTTGCAGCAGTTTTCACACCCTTACACTTTCTTACACTTTAACTACTCTCGAGTCCTTAATGCAAAAGAGGGGGGGGGGGGATTTTAATCCAGATCTAATAAAGAAGGGGGGGGGGGGGGGTTTGGAGATTTTTTTATGTTACAGTATTATAATATTTGATAATAAGTATTTGTCATAAAAACTAATAATTTTTATGAAACGGGTTTAAAACTATTTAAATTTAGCACGCCTTGCTGTCAAATACACATTTTCTAACAACTGTTTCATAATAATTTCAATTGGATTTAATATGTTGATAAAAGTTAATTTGGTGAGAAATAAATTAATAGCTATTTTTCGATGAATCGAGATTTACTTGATCAGCAATTTTTATAGCTTGTTTACACTGAAAAATTTTGTTTTTATCAGTGACTGAAATTTTCTAATATTTAAGGCTAATTTTCAATGATTTTTATTTATTTTTTTAATTTTATTTTTTGATAACAAGTAAAGTTTAATAAACAGGGGTTCTTAATAAGCTTAGGGTGGGTGGAAAAATTTTCCAAAAATTAATAAACGTTTCCTCCTCCCCCCCCCTCCCCCACCTTTTATGAGGGACTCGAGAGTATCTTTATTTTTCCAGTAAAATTTAGCTTAAATAATTTCTTATATGTAAAACTTGTCTTTATAAAATCGTTGTCACATTTTTCTTTTTGTATTTTTTTTCCAATAATTTTAACGCGTTGCATACAATCTACAAAAGTTTTAGTAGTTTGGTTAGAAGAAAAAAATGCTTTTTATAGTGTTAAAAGAATTTTCTTTCAAGTTTTTTTAAAAAGCAGCATGATCAAGCTGAAGGAGTTTTATGAAATTATTAAAACCAAAACAAGGCGGCCAATCGTCATGGAAATTATGGAAATGTCATAGAATTTTATTTGATCATGGAAAAAGTCATGGAATTTCTATATTTTCATTGAAAGTCATGGAAAATTCATGGAACTTTTTAAAATTATATTTATTTTTTCTATTTGTGATATTTTTAGGATGCAAAGAAAAGTACTAGTTAGTCTTGTCTAAGTCCTTTTTGAAAAATATATTTTTGCAGTGTAAGTTATTAGAGAAGTAAAAGAAAAAGAGTTTTTTTTTAGACATGATTTCAGAACTTCTACACATTAGTTTTTGGTTTGAATGTTTTATAATGATCACGTTGCACATGCTTAGTACATGGCAAGTTGCAAATGCTTAGTGTATGAAAAGTACTGAATATTTTACTCTAGTGATTTATCATAAAAGTTTATGAAGAATCATGGAAAAGTCATGAAATTTTGTTTTCAAATTTGAGTGGCCACCCTGCAGAAGAAAAGTTGTTTATTTTAACAAGAAAAAAAATTTTTTTTTCTCGTAACTTTTTTATGTGTGGGACTCTTTCAATCCAGGTGTGAATTCAATTTATAAGCGGCTAGTTTACCAGCTATTTTTAGTTTACTAGCTATTTTTAAGCCAATAATCTTAAAGATTAAATCCTGCTTCAACAAAAATCTTCAGTTGATGTAGATGTTATTTCTTTTATCCTTATTTATTCCTTTTTTTAAGTTAATGTAATTAACTTTTTTTAAGTTAATATAATTATATTTGAATTAATAATGTGTTCTTTAAAATTTTACATATATACCCGCAAAGTTTGCATTGAAATCCAACTCGTATATACAATAACATATACTAGTGTTTTATTGACAATATAAACTTTTAAATTTAATGTGTTATAAAATATATTCAGACACTTTATCGAGATTGCATGAGTGGTAAGGGTTTTGATCGCCACCTGTTCGCTCTTTACATTGTTTGCAGAGGTCAAGGATATGTAAGTTAATTTTATTCCGGGTTTTTTTTTGTCCTCATTTGTTATTAAAAATGACTGTATGCTCCGTTGCTTTTTTGCAGGAAAGTTCTTTCCTGAAATCTGCATTGCAGTTGCCTTGGACTTTATCCACTAGTCAGCAACCTCAGCAACAAATGAATAAGGGCATTGATATGAGTATTCCTGAAACACGTGAGAATGTAAGTATTTTTATAAATTGAATATTAAATAAAAGTTGAAACAAGGGTTCATTGTAGTATTTTAAATTTAGCAAAGTCCTGGTGGTGGTTTTGGTCCTGTTTCTGACTCTGGATACGGCGTTTCATATATGATTCCTGACGAAAAGACAATTTATTTCCACGTATCTTCTAAAGTTTCGTGTGCGCTTACTGATAGCAAACGTTTTATGGACAATATATTTTGGGCACTTAGCGAAATGAAACGAACTACAGAGCAAGTAAAAAGCAAAAAATAACTTATACATTCAAAAAAAAAAATTTTTTTGTTGGTGTTTTTAATTGTATATAAGTAAGTTGCTCATTTGGAACTAATATATCTTTTTGCTTGTTCGCTGAACGTACGGCTGTATAAATTTTATTTAATAAATGGCATGTAGTGAAACTCCATATTTGTATATACAACTATTTTGTCTACGCGTTTTTATTTTATTATTTGTTAAACTAAATTTGTATTTTAATCATTAGTTTAAAGTATTTGTTTTATTTTACTTGTATTTTTTTATATAGCATTTAAAGTAGAGAAGATAAACAAACTTTCATAAATCATTTTATAATATTCAAAATAGAGAAGATAAATTTTCATTCATTTTTTAAGTCATTTTTTAATCGGCGTAAGCGGGAAGCTAAATAAACGCGAGTTGGCATAAGTGCGAAGTGGTTACAGAAACAGACATTAGTGCGAATTGGTATAAGCGCAAATAAATTTATAAACATTCGCATACGTGCGAATTGGCTTAAGTACGAAGCAGTTGCAAAAACGGGCATAAGTGTGAACTGGAATAAATGCGCAGAATAAATTTGCAAACATTGGCATAAGAGCGAAATAACAGTTTGCACTTAGGCCAATATTTACAATTTGATTCGGCGCACTTATGCCAGTTTTTGTAACTGCTTCGCACTTATATCAATTCGCATATATGCCAGTTTGCTCTTACGCTATTCGCACTTGTGAAATTTGCGCTTATTCAGTCACGGCGTAAGACAAACTCGAAAAACTGAAAGACAGCAACTTTAAAAAATACTCTCAATCATTATACTAGTAATGCCTTGGAACAGTCTTCACTCATTTCACAATTTGTTGATAAACATTTACGGTACGAGAAAAATTTCACGGCAAAGATAAAATGGCGAGAGTAAAAAGATGACGTGGCAAACAAAATTACCCGATTTAAAATCGAAATCTATTTCACCTTTATGTAGACTATTATCAAAAGACATAATTTTTATATCCTTTGATAATAGTCTACATAAAGGTGTAAATAGTCCACATAAAGGTTACGATATAATTAAAGATTGTTCCGAAACAGTCAGTCTTCAAACGGACAACCTTGATACTTATCATATTAAAGCTTGTATTTTTATACCAGAGAGGACATTATTTCGATTGCTTCAACTGCTTTACTAGAACCTGTTGACTCAAAGTTGTTTGTTTGGCAGTTCTCTTTCCATTTCCACTCATTATTCTCTTAAGAATTTTTTTTTCATTCTATATTAAAAAAACTTTTGCAAAACTTAAGCATTTAAAATAATAACTTTATTTCAAATCAGCTCTTATATTTAATTTTGTTTAGTTTTGTTTATTGTATATATTGAGGTTTTTCTTTTTTTTTTTTTTGACTGACTTTGGTTGAATTGTCTCATGTTTTTATTTATTTTATTTTTTTAATTTTTAACGGTATTATAAAATATTCATCTTATAAAACAACTGCTTATAATGTAAAATACGATGTAAACTACGGGGCTTAGTGATAAGACTATTCTTGTCTTCTTTTAGTCCTGGCCATGCAAATATTTATTTATACATTTTGGTATTGCAGCAATATTTAAATAGCGAAATATATACATATAAAAAATAAATAAAAAAGTGTCAATAACTTTTCCATTTTTATGTGCAACCAGAGCGACGATTCCATAAACCAATGTTCT